TTCTGTCAGTTCTGCTCCTCTAGAGAAGCCTGAATAGTGCAAGAACCACCAATTTATTTACTAGTAGTATGCCAACCTCATAAAAGCAAAGACTTTTGAATTTTAGTTTTATAGGCACGTATAGGCCGTGAGGAGGAAAAGACCATAGGCCAGAAAGTAACTGGAATGGAGCTATACACTACTTGCAAAGGCATAAGGACTAGGGGTGGCCACAGGGAGAAGGAACAAAATAAAGGGTGCATAATGTCAGTAAGACTTGATAGAGAGAATAACAATGAGAATCTAGGGTGAAAGTCAAAAAACGATGCCCACTTTTCTGATATGATAGCTAGAAAGTTTGTGATATAGCTTTAAAATAAACATGGTTTTAACAGACTAGAGCCAAGAGTGATGGCCCATGCCTGTAATCCTGGGAGACTGATAAAGAAAAACCAAGAGTATGAGGCTAACTTGGTCTACCCTAGAACAAAACAGAACAAAATAATCAAGGCTGGGATATAGCTTAGTTGTATACCCCATATTTAGCAAACAGGAGGCCCTAGGTTCAATTCCTGTCAACACAAAATAAATAAAAGTATAATTTTAGCCAGATGTGGTGGTTCACATCTGTAATTCCAACACTTGTAGCTGTAATTTGGACCGGAGGATTGTACCAAGCTTGAGGCTAGTCTGAACTATGAAATTAGTACTGTACCAGGCTAGTTAGAGCCAAATAGAAAGATCTTGTTCAAAGACAATCTAAAACACTAACATAATAATAATTTTGATAGTTAAATGATATATATTTTGTATCTTTTAAGTCTAAGGCAACAATCTATACTTTTAATTATTATCTCGCATGGATATCTTTCCTCTGAATTTTTACAATATTTATTGTTTTTTATTTATTATTTAATATCATGACATAGTCTCAACAATTTCACGTCAATATGTCTTGGTGACTGGGGATAGTATGTGGTTGTACATGTGTGTATTGGTGTACTCACCTTCAAGGGGTATGTAGAGGCCAAAGGTCAATCACTCCTTCCTTAATCACTCCCCAACTTGTTTGGTTTTTGTTGATGGTGTTGTTCTTGCTTTGTTGTAGGTTTGTTTGTTTTATTGTTTGAGATGGGGTCTCACTGTGTACTTGCTATATAGGCCAGGCTGGACTCAAACTACAGAGATCCATCTGCCTCTACCTCCTGAGTGCTGGGATTAAAGGCATGTACCACCACACTCTACCCTCTTTTTTCTTTGGGACAGGGTCTTTCAATGAAACTGAACTTCACTATTTCAGCTAGATAGGCTGGCCAGGGAACACTTAGGGTCTGTATCTGTCCCTCCACTGCTGGATTATAGGCATGTGCACTTGGCTTTTATCTGGGTGCTGGGGATCCAAACCCAGTCTTCATGTTTGCAAAGCAAACATTATCTACTGAGCCATCTCCCCACCCCTTATCAATATCGTATTTCCCAAAGTAAGACTTGTTCTATATTTCTTTCCCCTACATCTCAATCCCTAGCACTACCAAAAACTACATGCTAAGTACATATTACTGACACATGTTTCAATAGCCCTTTGGAAAATACAAAGGTGGGGCGGAGAGATCTGTTTAGAGCATTTGCTGCTCTTGCAGAGGACCCAGATTCAGTTCCTAGTACCCACACGATGGCTCACAACTGCATGTAATTCCAGTGCTGGGGATCCAATTTCTTCTTCTGATCTCTGCAGGCACCAGGCACATACCCAGTACACATGCACACATGTAACCAAAACCCTCATTCACATAAATAAAAATAATTTAATCCCAGCACTCGGGAGGCAGAGGCAGGCGCAACTCTGTGAGCTTGAAGCCAGCCTGGTCTACAGAGTGAGTTCCAGGCCAGCCTCCAAAGCCACAGAGAAACCCTATCTTGAAAAACCAAAGTAAAAAATTAAAATATAACATCAAAAGAATAATATAAAAATTATAATCAATATTCTAAAATAAGTTAGTACACTATTAAAGAATATCTGAAAATTAAATATATAAAACACAAAATGATAAAGACTGTAAAGTCAGGGAAAGGGTCAGAATTATTAAAGAAATAATTAATTTCCCCATAACTGCAGGACATAAATTTGTATACTAACTGTGGTTACCAAGTACCCAGTGCAATGAATAAAAGAAGGTACACACAAAGAAATACTAACTAGTGCAATATTAGAAGATCAAAAATAAGAAGAAACTTGATGGGAGGCTGTGGTAGGAGGATCATGAGGTCAAGGTTAGTCTGAGCTACACAGACAACCCCTTTCTCAAAAGGGGAAAGAAAAAAAGGAAGGAAGGAAGGGAAAAGGAGAAAGAGGAAGATAAACTTCAGAGAGAACAGGTTATATACAAAAGTTTCTGGAGTCAGAATAGCAGCCAGAAAACACTAAGTTCACTAAGTTCAAAAGGAAGAAAACATATCCCCAACCTTGACCTTTATACCCAGCCAAACAATTACAGTATAAACACAAAATAAAGCTCTAACTTTTTCCAGACAATGATTACAGTGAAACTGAACTTGGGTCCTCTGCAAGAACAACAAGCGCTGTAATCGCCCAGCCACCTGTCCAGCCTCAATTTGAAACACATACCAATAAATACTACCAAAGTATAGGTTTATCCACACAGGATTTTCAAAACTACTGAAAAGCCATTCTTTGAGAAGTACGTTTAGTTATTTTTGGTTCTACTGTGTGGTACACTGGCCTACAAATATTTCATTTATTCACCCAGTTTAGTCATATAGAACAACTTTGAATACCTCCTTTTAAATTCTCTGAAATCAGTGATAATTTCAGCTGTATGTCAATACTGCAATGTGATCAAATCCAGTGGCATATTCTTGTTTAATGTTTGCAATTTTTCTGAAAATTAATTCAAATTTAACAACAGGATTTATTACTTATTGATAAACATGAAAGCAGCTATAAACAAAACTCCAAAATTCAACATTCTAAAGAAATTTTCCAGTGTGTTTTCTAATTTTTCCGTTTTTCAGAGTTGCCAATCTTGCTGGGCATGGTGGCACAAGCCTTTCATCCTAGTATTTGGGAAGCAGAGGCAGGCAAATCTCTGTAAATTTGAGGCCAGGCTGGTCTAATAACAACTTCCAGTCTAGCCTGGGCTACATAGTGAGACTCTGCCTCAATTTTTAAAAGGTTGTGAATTTTGTTGTTATTGTTGTTGTTGTTAGCAGGGTTTCTCTGTGTAGTCCTGGCTGTTCTGAAACTGGCTCTGTATGAATTAGAGGACAGTTTTGTCTACATGACTTCCAGCACTGAATAAAGAAAGGAGAGGTTAGGAAGGGAGGGTGGGGAGAGTTGCAGGAGGGAAGAGAGGGCTGGAAAAGAGGGCCAGGAGAGAAAGGACCATAATTTCTGAGAAGATAACTGTGACATCTTTAGTGTAAAACACAATATTCAGCAACATACTTGGTGCTAAAATGTGTATAAGCAAAGCAATGCATCATTTTGTCTACCTTTCTAACCAGTATAGACAGATGTACCAGGTATTTGCATGTCTGATCCTGTCTTGTTCATTTTTATATCCTCTGAGCCTGGACAACTTTGAAAGGGGAGGGTCCATAAAGAAAACCTTTTCCGAAACAGGTCAGAAGATCTGTAACCATTCTTGCCAAAACATTTTTTTGCAGGCAACTCTGGCCTCTTTGCAGACGTCAAAACTTCATGGTAAGTCAGTTCTAATTAGAAAAATTCACTTTTTCTGGCGCAGGCGCTTCCCACTCGGTGCAAAGAGGAGCCAAGTGAACAGAACCGCAAAGACTTGGCTTACTGCAAACACAAACTAATTTATTATTATTGGCCCAAATTTACCCTCTCTCCTGGGGAGCAGGCCAATATCCACAACCGCATTGAAGCCTCCGCAAGGCATACCAGTAGCCGGTGGGGAGCACAGCGATTCTCAGCCAAAGCCCAGGGAGAGCTGCCCCTTTGCAGCGCAGTCTTCCAAAAGCCTCCAACAGATCTCCGCCTTTAAAATCTGCATTTCCTAAGAAATGCTTCCAATTGTCGATATTAAAAGCTAAAGAAACAGCTCTCTAGAGCCCCACAAGGAATGGCTCCCTTCCAGCGCTACTGCCACTTTCGGGGCTCACCAGGCACAAGCCCAAAGCTGGACCACACTTGCTACAGCCTTGGCGATTGCCTTTAAAGTAAGCGCGCGCGGCAGGGATGCCGAGGAGTTCAACTTCCGGCCCCACACAGAGGCTATTTTCCTACTGGCCTTGCGGCTGCCCGAGCCACGCCCTTGGCCACGCCCCCAACCACGCCCCTACCCTCGCTTGGCTTTCCTAGG